CAAAAAAAAAAAAAAAAAAAAAAGTGTACCGAACAATGGCAGTCATTCTGTTGAGGTAGTGGAATTGCTGGGGAATTGTGTTTTGATGTTTATTGACATTGTTTCATGTGGCTTTATGGAATGACTAGTCATTGTGTAGCTTTGAATAAAGCTGATCTTCTTAAACAGAAGATATGGCCATGGGCCTCCAGGTGACATGGCGTTAGCACTTCTCAGGTAAGTGTTAGCTCTTCCAAGCAGGGCACAATTTCACTTCCATTCCCAGCCAAGGTGTAGGCTCCTCGCTCAGGATCCAGTACCCTCAGCTCAGCCACACGTCAAGAAATCTTGGCTTCCCAACTATTCTCACCTGTCCTCCACCCTCAGGGGTGGAGACTCCTTTAAATTCCCAGTCCTCCTGCAATTTTGACTCCCATCCTGTTATCTCTAGGGAAACGTTCTGGAGGCTACTGAGGTTTGGAGGAAGAAAGGAGTGCAGAGCTTTTATATTTACCTTTGAAACACAACTCAAGCACACCGCAAGCCAGCCTCTGGTTTAGTGTAATTATTCTGACCAGGGCAAAGTATGTGACAAGTGGTGCTTATTGTGCCTCCGAAGTCATCAGCTCTTTCTGTAGCCCATTTTAAATTCATGCAATATTAGAACTGAAAGAGCCATAGAGATTATTATTCAATGTGCATTTCACTGCTATTTTCTAGAATCACCGTTCCCTGCCAATAATGGCTTCTTTCAACCCTCACCAACTCAGTTTCTCTAAAGGAAATCCAACAGTGGTATGCACTTTTCAGTGCCCTACCCCTACGTATCACTTCCTACTGAAGAAAAGAGACTCTCCTTGTCATGGACGCTTCCTGAAGCCCTGGCTGCTTCCTCAGGCTCTTCCAGTATCCCACATACCATGCATCTGCTTTGCTCACGATCTCTCTGCCTGCAGCGCCCTTATACCACTTTATACTGCGCCTGCCTCATTTTACTGCCCACTCTCCCCTGGCTAAATCCCTCATCTTAATTGTGCACTCCCGCCCACCTCTAGGAAATCTTTACACCTCCTCTCTCTCTCAGGTGTTAAGTGCTCCTCCTGAGTTTGTGGGGTTGCTATAAGTATTCCTTATCAGTCTGTCTGCCTGAGAAGATTGCTGTTTCCTTAAGGACCATGTTTTCTTCCTTCCCTTCTTTCTCTGTACCCCCTTAACACAGCATCTG